TTTTTTTTTCTTTTTTTTTTGGGGGGGGGGGGTGGCAAAAAATTGAAGTTAAGTAGAAGTTTGAAAGAAATAAAAGCATAAATGACTTTTATTGTTGGCGTTGGTATTTTGAATTTTTAACATAAAACTTGATGTTTATCGTTTGAAATAAAGCTGTAAATAACATTGGAAATGTGCATATCATGATGATCCACGCTTTTTGTAACAGTCATTTGTGAAAAACATTTTAACTCGGCACGTTGGTAAATGACATCCGTGACTTGGTTAGTTTATTATCATTGAAATCATAGGTTACAATATAACATGACAGGATCGGCCTTATCTCAGGACGCACCTTGAGTAAAATATTTGGCAAACATAAATATACAATATTGTACTCGAATAATTCGAAAAAATTGCCGAACCCCACCGTAATCGCCTTAAGTTTATTCACATGCACACTTTCTCTTTTAGACCGTGCAACACGTACAATGACCTTAAAAACTAATGCTTTTATAAATAACGAAGTACTGGGTACATGTCACTGTTAGAACTCAAATATTTAGGCTGATCTGTTGTTATCAGCATCGATATTTGCACAACTTGCAGGCTAAAACTGATAACGACCACAACCATACACAACAAGTAACTCGTGATATTGTCGACATACAGTACGCTATTCTCGCATTGGTTTTGCAAGCACAAAGACAATGTGACTTGAGGACACGGGTCACCAGAGAAGCACGTGGGGATTTGATCTTGTTAAGTCATATCTTTGTACGGTACATACTTAGAATGTCTGAAGAACGGACTGCGAGTGTTTCCAGCGAGCAAGGTGCTGAGCCCCAGGGGAAAATGTCACTGCCCGTCGGCTGGGAGGCAAGAGTTTGTGCGAACGGACGGGTATATTACGTAAAGTATGGTCAATTTTAACTAGATTTCCTTGAAATAAACGTAATTTGAGTAAATATACGTCTGCAAGTCTTGTGTAAGATAATAAATTAAGTTTTTAATAAGAAATTGAGCTCGGTATTTGTAGACCTGTTCGCTATCATAAGATTTTTCGGTATTTTTTCATTCAGTGTCTTTTATTTTAGCACGAAAGCGCGCACTACTCAATGGGAACACCCACTAACCGGAGAAATATCTAAAATTGGTAAGACTGTTGGGGGAGGATCCCAGAAAGAAGGGGTGGGGTGTTTATGTTAAAAAACAGATAAGAATATTTGCCCATGTTGATTTTGCGTTCATAATATGCCTGGCAGATCGAGGTTAATTTATTTCTATTCGGAAGGCTTTCATAACTTTTGTATGGTATTCCTCACGGCTGTGTGCCAGTATTTGGCCCTCTGAAATTTCATGTTTACATGTTACCAATTGGAACAATTCTGCTTTATCATGAGATAGGCCCCATTCAGATTGAGAAGAGCCGAAAGCTAGCTAGGCCGCAACCTAAATATGGCGGACCTACATGAAAGGAAGACCACTTAGTCCTGTAATGGTCTATCCGCCTCTCACACGCCTCCCCAGCCTGGAATCTCAACCGGTTGAATTAAGCCAAGATTTAATTACTGTGCCCCTGAATAAAAGGTGACTTCTATGGCAGAAATTGATGCTAAACTCACATCAGCAATTTTTTCACAACAATCATTTAAGACGATAAAACGGCAATTTTCAAAATGGCAAACAAAACGTCCTAACAAGAGTGTCATCGACAATTAAAGGTAACATAGTTTGTAATATGCATTGTCTTATGTTTTTAGGGCTGTAAAGCTAGTTCATTACTCCGTAAAACGATATAATAGTTTCATTAGTAATAACCCCAAATGGTTCTCAACAATAGCTCAGTGTAACATATTGGGAGGTCATGGTCATTACTGATAACACCAATACAGCGAGGTCAGATTTGTGGAATCAAACCAGTATCGATAGCGGGGTATGAATACAATGCATTTGATGGGGCACGGTATGATTGGCCATAGGACTTAGATTCGGTGGTAATCTAGGCCGATGGCTCTCTGATTTAGATTATGTCCAAGCTGCATTTTTTTTTCTAAAACTATTGCAGAAAAATGTTGAATTTGTTGAATTCATATTAAACTGAAATTGTTGAATTTATATGAAAATATGAAATCAACAATTAATTTAAATTGCGAGAAAGAGACAAAGAAGCCGACAACAAGATATTCAAGTCCACGTATATTAATATGATTATAATCTCCTTTGTTTAACATCTACCATTGATGAGTTTGAAATGTTTTCGGACTTGATCCTTCTGCTTCACTCTTGTTTCTGTTTAAAGCTCATTTGTGATGCGAATGTGGTCGTCAAATAGCGCGGTCTGGACCTAACATTAACTGTTTTTTTTCTCGTTTTCAGAGGGCACTGATGCCCAGCTTCAAACAGGAGACGGGAATGACAACAAAATTGAGTACGTGTTATCTTCTCTTTAAATATAACAGGTCCAACTTGGCTTTTTATGTATTCAGTTTATCGTGTAACTTTATCGTTATGATTTAAAGTTGTGTATAATTTTCACAAGTTTCCACGCATATTTTTTTCACAATTTAAAAAATTCGGTCATTCACCCGTTCATTAATTTTTTTTTGCGTCGTTACATGTACGAAACAAATGAATGTTCACCAAATTAATTTCCCACAAGACTCGTCATTTACACGCGAAATTTAAAGCACACCAAGTACAGTGCCTATATTAATGCGTTGTAGTGAACAGACGCTGTCGTCTGCTGTGGTAGAGGGAAAGGGGAACGTGGACATCATCTCCAAATTTAACTCCTATTCCACGGCTCTGGAGGTCATGGCGGGGAAAGATTTGACGGGGAAATACGCCATAGTTACTGGGTCCAACTGTGGAATTGGTAAGTTCTGACTTTGAAATGAAGAACCGTAAAGTCAACTGGCATGGCCTAAGGTTTTGTAAAGATCTTAACAACGGGTTTATCATATATTCGACGGAATGCCTGTAAAACCTGTGATTGTTTTAACGCTATATTCTTAACGTGGATTGTAACAGAATAATAGATTCCGTTAATCTATCCCAAGATTTACATACCTGATTACTTGAACTGTAAAAGATCGTGTCTCCAAATAAGTACGGAATTTAGCACTTTTATCTGTCTTAATGCCTTCTAATACTACCCTAGGGTACGAGACCGCGCGCGCTCTCGCGCTGCACGGAGCGCACGTGGTGATGGCCTGCAGAAGCGTGGACCGCGGCGAGGAAAGTGCCAACATGATCCGGGCCGAGAAAGATGCGGTAAAAATCCGGGTTATGCAGCTGGAGTTGGCATCACTGAAGAGCGTTAAAGCTTTTGGAGAAGAGTACAAGAAGACAAATTGGTAAGATGCGTTTCAAATTCACCGCTATGTAGCGCAGCTGTACATGTATTTTCGGTTAATGATCGCTGATTGAGAATATTATTAAAGAAGATCTTTAATCTTTGCACGGTTAAAAACCATTCAAGAAAAGATTCACTTTTGCTGCAGTGTGTGACCAATAAAATTTTAACTGTCGCTGAAAGGAGTTAAATGGTGGCAGAAAAACAATAATAAATGAAATAAATTAAATTATATTAAAATAGATAAAGATTAAAAACGCAGTTTCACCCCAAGTATTATATTATTTTCAAATACATGTCTCAAACAGGGACTTGTTCAACAACAGCACGCATGATACCGCTATCGTACAACGGAATTTTTATAAAGAGGGGTTAAAAGCCACATTTATCAATTATAATTTAATTCCAGGCCCATCCATATATTGATACTAAATGCCGGCATAGCATCCGTGCCGTTTTCTCTGACGGAGGACGGCCTTGAGAGCACCTTCCAAGTCAACCACCTGGGTCACTTCTACCTCACCTTGCTCCTAGAGGAGGTGTTAAGACGGTCCAGTCCCGCCCGAGTGGTCTCGGTGTCTTCCAGAGGGCTGCAGTGAGTACCGTGTGTCCAGGATCTTTATAAAGATGTAAACTTAAAGTTGTTACTCAGTTTTTCTTGCCTTGTACGCGCGGTAGAATTCATATAGGCCTACCAGTATAGGCGCGCAAGGACATATTTCCTTTGTTTTACACATATTTTCTCATTATATCGCCTCAAGTGAATGTTATGTAACTCATTATGTTATTGTAAAATATTGATCTTGCGTTTATGAAATTCTGGACATCCAACGGGTTTCAAACTTCGGAAATTTTTATGTTAGTATTCAAGTGATCAAGAATTCTTGATGCGATCCATGTTCTTGATAAATGTAAAAGTTAATGCGTGTCATTTTTCAGACTGTCCGATTTGAAAATGAGCAACGTGTCGGAAAGTAAACTGTCCAGTCCTGATGCATCAAGTCATTCACGATTTTCGACGTATAACAAGACAAAGCTTTGCAACTTGCTTTTTGCAAAGGAGCTGAACTTGAAGCTGGCGCGTCATGGCGTAACTGCAAACGTACTGCACCCTGGCGGTTTTATATCCACCAATATTCAGCGACATTGGTGGTTATCCAAGGTTTTGTTTGTAATGACAAAACCGTTTACGAAAACTGTTGTACGTATGACATATTGAAATATCAAATATAAAACTTACTTGCTTAAACGAATTAATATTAAACTGTATTCGGCAGGTTCGTCCCCGGTTGTTTTTCCTACTGATAATCCCATAGGCCTATATCCTGATATATTTAAATTTAGGTAATGGACGTCGATTCCTGTGGTATATATGTAAAATTTAGCCGGGAAAAGTCAGTATTTTCATATACCACGTTCATTTATTCAAGTTATAAAAACAACGGCTGCTTAAAAATTGCACGTTAAGATGTTAGCCTACCCCCATTTACCTTCCCGCATAAAAAACAAAATTTAATCCGTAAAGTGTTACTTGTGTCATTATTTAATATGCAAGAATAAATAACAGAATATAATGTATGCCTCCCTCTGTTTTTTTTTTGTTTCAGGAGCAGGGTGCGGCGACCAGTGCGTATTGCGCCGTTGCAGAAGAGTTAGAGGGTCGGGGAGGGCTCTACTTTGATAACTGCCAGGCAGCACAGCCCAAGTCAGAGGCTGCTGTCGATCCAGAGCTGGCGAGAGAAGTTTGGAAGTTATCGGAGAAAATGTTGAACGATCGCGGTCACAGTGTATAAGTATTGTGACCTGACGTTTGAAATGACGCATGAAAAGTATTAAATGCAAAACGATCAAGAAAACTTAAAAACATAAATAGATAAAACCAGAGGCGCCCGCTAACGTTAAAAAATGGAATCACAGTTCGCTTCCAACAATACATAAATTTTTACTTTATTTTGAAAACTTAGTCTAGGTTACTTTGGCAGTACCAAATGTCAGTTTGGTGCCCGTATACTTACCGCATACGTAATTTATTCACTTTTCTTCTTCGGAGATATTCTAAAAATATTTGATAAGTTCGCATCTAATATTATATGTCGTTTTCTATCATAAAAATAAATTATGGCAGAGCCGTTCTTGTATTTTCATTGGGATATGAAGCGCTAGTTCAATTAAGGTCCAGCTGATTGTCTCCTAAAAACAAGCATGGATGCGTCCTTGCTCCGTGCCTTTTAGGACATTTAATTAAAATTATCTCATTTTTATCATCATGCCGACCATTCGTCCCCTAGTGTAGGGGAGACCGGGGCTAGTTGGCCCAGTTAGACACTTTTGGCCTTGTAGAGCCAACTTGGAGCCCTTTTTTGGCACTTGCAGTTTAATGTGAAAAAAATTTCAAGATCAATTTCAAAATCATGAAAGTTAAATAAATCTTATAATGGCTTTCGCGCGTTTTTTTTTTTTTTTTTCATCACCATGTTGCGACTCGCGACTACGCTTTTGTTTTTTTGTTTTTTAATTTAGTCATTCAAGCTGTTAAATTGCTCTAAGCGATATATGCAAAAGTAAACCCATAATTCAAATAAATTCACTATTTACAAATATATGGGATACAGATGTTGGCGAGATGTAGGCCTACATGTATACGCTGCTTGTCAGGTTTGTGAAAGTTATTACCAATGACCTTTGAAGCACGGGCTAAAAAGGGAAAACTACCATGATGTCGAGCAAGCAAACCAAATGAAACCAAACTGCAAATGAAGCAATTAGCATATAATCGATATTTCTTCTTACAAACTACCCATATTGATCAGTAAGAAGAATGCGACTTGTAATGAACCATCTTTGATGAAGCCTGGTTCGAATTGCGTTAGGTGAGATTCGAATTTTGGCCAATCAAATTAAAGGACATCATTTCTGCGGCTGTACAAAGGGTGTACTGGTTCGAGGTAAAAATAATTAAAAATTAGCTTCAAAATACTAATTATAAGAATGATACGTTATAATGGTGATAGTTGGCTTATTTTATAGTTCCAATTTGTATTAGATATGCGTTAATATGTCAGAAATATGTGTCATTTGGTTGGGTTAAGAAGGTTTTTCTAACTCGTATATCGGGTGGAGGATAAAGCTTTGGCAAATCTCTGGCGGCAATATTTATGAACTACGTTTGTGTGCACTTCTTCATTTCAATAATATACGGCATATGGTGTCATTTAAGTATCACGGGGCGTGTGCTCGAAATATGTACATTTAAAATTTGACATCTTAACTTTAACCTACAACTGTCGTCGGTTTTGGTCATTCTTATACATTTTGATTTTGAAAGAACTTGAGTTGAGAGCTCGATGGCCACAATATTTTCTGCAACCCAAACTAAGTTATAGGAAATGAAGTATTTCATCGTTTCTCAGCATTGCCAAACATATTAAGAGCACTTGAAGTTCATAGTGCTGTACCAGTAAGATCAAGCTCTGAAACAGATGGGAAATGAAGAAAATAAAAATTGTAATACAATTTAGTTGAATACATGTGTTGACATTTTTTGTGCAGTTAAATGTTGGAAGAATGAAGAATTCACCTTCAAATGTGCTCCACACATACAATTGCTAACAAATTCTCTCCCTGTCTCTCTGTTTTCCTCTCACTTGTTCACAATATTCCCCACACTGTTTCAGTGAAGTGTGTTAACGATATTCTGTATGCACATCTATACCAATATGGGGACATAGGGGGATGAATCGTTAAAGCAAAACAATGGTGCGTGGCTATTGTACTCATGTCACAGATGAATTTTGGACTGGAATATATGCCATTTCCTTATTTTCTCATTGTCACTTCAGGCTCTTTAACAGAATACTGTACATTGGACATATCCAAATGTTAGATATGTAAGACCCCATTCCCAGAGATTAGATCGATCTACTTTAGATCGACCTAACTCCCTGAGGGTTCACGCTACATAGCTGTCCGCCGAGCGGGCACACAAGTTAATTATCTCCTTACAGCTTGTAGTTGGCGGGACGGACATTTAAGCCGGATTATCTGACAGTAATCTAGTGAGACTCTCCGCAGGGATAGATCGATCTAAAAGCTCTGGGAATACACTCTAAGATAGCTGCATGATGATCTGACACATATCTTATTTTAAGTATCACAGTGTCTTATTAAAATATACATTATTTCCTAATTTCTTCCCATTTTGTCACTACAGGTCCTTTATCAGAATACATTAAACATATCAAGGTCCTGTTGCCTAGTCAACATGGACATGGATGGGACGTTTGGGATGCCAAAGGGAAATGAAACTGACAACGATGACGAGGAGTTGAATCTGGAAGATTTTATGGAGGTAGAGTTAGAAAATTTATTGAAGCAGAAAGTATAGTATTATATGTAGTTAAAGGGATAATAACTCTTCGTATGAGATCTATATTTTACAATAAAAACATTGTGAATAACTCAGAAATATAATATATTCTGTTTTACCACAAAAATGGCAGTTATAGCTATTATTCTGATATCTGAGCTTGTCTTAGACTACGTGACCTCCATTGATGGCTATACTCTGTTAAAATCTCTTAAGAGATTTTAACAAAAAACCAAACTTTTTAGAAAAAAACCAGGGACTTACTTTGAATGTAAAAATGCATTCATAACCATTGGTAAGTATGGGGGGAATTGGAAAATTCATTTTTTGGCCAAAACGCAGTTATTATCCCTTTAAGATCTGACACTTGGCTAACGGCTAACTTTACATATCACAGTTTGAATCAACAGTGAATTAATGTTTTATTTCGTCAATTTTTTTTTTCTGTCTTTATATGTTCATTTATATTTCTGAAGGACCAGGACACCAAGTTTTCTTTGGAACGGACTGCATATTGTGATCAATATATAAAGACATTCAGGAATGGATCCAGAGACATTTTCTGACAGTCTTCCAAATTCTTTGTTGGTTCATCCTCCATTATTGACCATCTGACAGAAAAATTATATGCCTGCATGCCAGTGTAAACTTGAAAAATTAGGGCGTATTTCCATAGATTTTAGATCTATCTTTCCCTTTGGGGAGCCTCACTAGATTACTGTCAGATAATCCGGCTTAAATGTCCGTCAGGGGGTAATTAACTTTTGTGCCCGCTTGGCTGACAGCTATTTAGTGTGAACCCCCAGGGAGTTAAGTCCATCTAGTTTGGATCGATCTAATCTCTGGGAATGGGGTCTAACTGAAGACCCAGAAGATGGCCTCCATCCACCCTAATCACTCTCATCTTGGTTTTCTAGGTTGTCACCTCTTACAGATGCAAGTTTTGCCCTTTCATAGCTCACAGTCCACAAGGCATGGGACACCACGTGAGGACGGCTCACATGAAATTACCTTCTCAGCAACAACAACAACAGCAACAACAACAAGCTGAGAGCATGGACGTAGAAGAAGTCGATGTCAATGTCCAAATGTTACAGCAACAACAGCAAGAACAACAGTATCAACAAGAGCAACAGCAGCAAGTTAGCAGTATGAATGTGGAGCTATTACAACAGCAACAAGATCAACAACAGCTAGAAGACATTAACACTCAACTGTTACAGCAACGTCAATCAGGACTGTTACAGTACCAGCCACAACAACAAACAGGGAGTGGGGGAGAGACAGGGACCAGTGAGGTAGAGGTACAGGTGGAAGACGAGCAGACGGGGACGTCCCACATAGTTGAGCAGGCTATGGCAGCTGCCGGTATGTAATAGATGGATTGTGAGTCAATGATGTTTAAAGGCCTGTAGTTAAGGGCTTTTGAACAAACTTTCCTTATATGGTCTGCACTGAATGGAACTTTGATCTAGTTTCTCTGCCATTTCTCAAGTTGGGTCAACAGTGAGGGAGGATTTTCTTTTGCTCAAATTAAGTATCACATTTTGATTTTATTTATATGGGAAGTTAAACTTGTACATTTGTAATATGTTATTTTGCAACACAACATGCTTTAACCCGACATCTAAAATTATTGCCACTTTTCTTCCTTCCATTAATTTATCTTGATGTAGAAGGGTAAGTCATAATATAAGATGACAGAGGGGGATAATTCTGGAATGGACCCTAAATTGCAAAATTGATCCCTGATATATCTTGCACTGCAACTCGCTTTCCATATTGGATGACTCTGTAGAGTTTTCAATACAAAATAAACTAACAGCAAGCCTTTTCTTAACACCACATTTTAGTGGGAAAAAGTGTTCTTGAAGGGAGCTCAGAGGAGGAAGGAAGACAATTAGAAGACCAACAACCTTCCGCACTTCACGCTTCACTTCTCACAAATTTCGCTGAGGCCAGTATGGCAGAACTTGCAGCGACTGGAGAAGCTGGAACTTCTGAGTCTCCACTCACTAAAGAGCTCTTCCTGTGCGGCCAGTGCAGTCTGGGATTTGGCTCCATAGAGGAATGTAAAACTCACATGGTATGTTGGCTGGGAACACTGGTTTTACTATCTAAGCCCCGTGTTAATGATAAAATGGTAAATTAAATGAAGAAAAATTGGTCATGGATATTTTTCTGAAAGTCGGTAATGTTTTTTTTTTTTTTTTTTTTTGTAAATTATAACCTGCCTTTTATGAAACATTCAATCAGATTTTAACAGACCATACTTGGGATATATTGATGCTGGCTTCATTAGAAGATTACCCTCACGTACTTATGGTATTCTCCCCATTTCTTATAACATAATAAGAAAACTCAGATTTTTAAAAATTGCCATTTTAGGTCCAGGACCACAATAACTTCCACGCAGGAGTTCAGGGGTCATCTGGCTCTCAGACCAATGAGACTGGAGTGGGCACCAATAGAGTGGACGCGTCCACTCAGGTCCAGAGGAAGAAGCCAGGACGTAAGAGGAAAGCACCCGAAGCTTACACGGCATCCATGGTGAAGGAGGAACCGAAGCCTGAGCGGGATTTAGAGTCCGGTAGGTTGGGTACATGACGACTTCTGACGGTTCAGGGCAGTAATTTTTTTAAGCGTGGTAGTTTTTATCCCTTTGGAGTATCTAATTTTATTTCAACCTTTAAGCCTAATTTATAAATATTTCAGTGGTAAGGTGTTTATTTTAGTTTTTATCTCTCAAAGGAAAACAATTTCCGATACTTGCATTTTTATATTTTCATTGGCTGAATAAATTTTTTATCTTAGTTATAACTTATATCTTACATGATACACTTTGACACAGTTTTTGAGGATTTATTATGACTTAATGCTTATAATCTAATTTTCAGCATATCTACAGTAAAAGTCAAAATACCTGAAAACTCCATTATTTCGGGCCTTAGTGCAATGAATAGATTTTTCTTTCTTTTGGTTAAAGCTTTCAGGTCTTTATTTATCCAGATTGAAAGTAATAGCAAAATCATTTTATTTATAATTTCTTTTTCAACCCAACTGATTTCTATTGGACATATCATATAAGAAAATTACACATTTTTTCTTAGGCAAAATTTGCAGTTTTTTTTTATTTCACAGTCCTATGTCAGATTAACAGAAGTTAAATTGTTCTTACCACAGATGAGGAAAATGAAGAAGAGGAAGATGATGATGATGAGGCACCAAGACGACGTCGTATCAGACCACCCCGCATGCTGGAGCATGATTATGTCATGTACAAACGACCACGTGCAACATTGTCTCAGGAAGAGAGACGGGAACTCACCAAAGGCTATGATATCACATGTTCAGAGTCAGGATGTAATGCTAGGTATGGGTTTTTAATCACCCCCCCCCCCCCCCCCCCAACATATGCATGCACGCATCACAAACCATACTTGCAAGCATTTGTAGTATATTACCTTTTGCAAATTTTTACAATTCAAATTTTACCAAGTTTTTTAAAAGACATTTTTCAAATTAAAATATTGATAAATTAACAAATTATTTTTCTGAAATGATAAATGAATTAAAAAATCATACATATTTCCTCCGCATCCAAGTGAATATCCTATATAATTCTGTGCAATAATTTAATATTTTTAAATAAAAAACATACCTATAGTTTGTTATAAATATATTTCCTCTGTGTTCAACCCAGTGGGAAATAACCTAATATAGTATATAATTCTGATAGGAATAATATTATATTTCTACTCAACTTTCCAGATTCAAGACTGAGGTGGCCCAGCAGGTCCACGAGAGCTGTCACGTAGGGGGTGAAGAGGAGGGTAGCTCAGTGTACAGATGTTGTGTAGAGAACTGTCAGGTGAAGTACAGTATGTGGAAGGCCATGAGAAAACACCTGTGGAAGGAACACAAAGTGGACACTGACCTGTATACCTGTGGACAGTGTGGCTATAAGTGAGTATTGTTGACTTGTATCAACCTGTAGTTTGAGAGAAGATATGTTTGGGGCTCTTCAAAATAGATGAACCGAGTACTAACTGACCCGCGGACTAAATATGGCCGACTACACTTCAAAAGTGATGACGCTGATTCCTGATGGTCTATCCGCCTCCACACGCGCCATTAAACAGATTAAATCTCAGCTCTGAGGTTTAATTGCTAAGCCCCTGCAGCAATGGCGCGTGTGGAGGCGGGGAGACCATCCATTAAAATTGTGACATTACTATGCTTATTCTTATAAATTAGGTATTTTATCTTATTGTGGCATTATGTCATGGCATTTATCCAACTATTTACAAGTTGCCACACTATTTAATAATAATATATAATAGTATTGATTGATTTTTATCCACCCATAGTTAAAGATATGATATGCAGGTGGCACAAGACTTGACTTAAAATGTAACAATATCACCAAATTCTTTCCGTGTCCTCTCTCCTCTTTCTTTCTGCCTTAGAAATTTTATGTTTATGTCTTCATCAAATTTTGAACTATAATTTCACAGCAGATATGCACTAACATTCTTCACAACAAATAAGTACTTCTTATTTTTTCATACAGTCAAATGAAAGTTCCAACTTCCTTACAGAAAAATCTAAATCTAGTTCCTTAAACACCATCAGAATCATAAACAAAATCTTTTTGCTTCAGGGTTGAATCTCTGTCGAAGCTGGCCAATCACAAAGAGATCCACGGCCGCGACCGTCCCTACTGCTGCGACATCTGCGGCAAGGCATTTAAACAAGAGAGGCAGATGAAAAACCACCGAACCATCCACATGAGTGACAGCAAGGACGGTAATGGTAGGGAACTATCTCTTTGTGTTTAGATGACTTGAATTTTGAATTTAGAAAAAAAAAATGCTCCAGTAAGTTCTGGGAAATGAACAACAAGATTTCTAATAGACTTTTACCTTTAGCGGATTTCTTTCTTTTATTTATTAACTGTTTTATCTATTTATTTATGTATTTATATTTTTGGGAATAAAATTCAAAGTTTTTACCACCATTTTTTTTCGGGGGGGGGGGGGGGGAGGAGGGGTGAACAAGTGATGGTATTGAATTTTAGTAAACTTAAGCTCAAGATAAATAGTAGTACAGTTGTCCAATGAACTAAAGTAAATATTACCTTGAACCATAATTATTTTCATGTCTGTTCTAATTTCAAACAGATACAATATTTCATCTTATTAGACTTCTGTGAATTTATCTTGGGTCACATCAAAGCAGAATAATATTTTGCTCTCAAAGTTTAGGCAATGATTAGGCTCAATACCTTCATTATTTATTATTCTCCATCTTCAGACAAGTGGTACATGAAGAGGAAATGTGAAGAATGTGGTCACATCTTAGCTAACATGAAGTGTCTGAAGAAGCACATGGAGACTGTTCACAGTGATCACAAGCCCTATGTCTGCAAGTACTGTGGGAAGTCCATGGCCAGAAAGGCAATGATGGAGCTTCATCTCAGAGTTCACACAGGAGAGAAACCTTTCAAGTGAGACTTACCTTTGTTTGTAGTGTCCGAAACGTGTTACAGCAGTGCAGTAGGTTCCGTATCACTGGTAGTCTTATCATTTGAGTTATTGTTTGTCTGGAACAAATTTTATGAAATTGTTTTTGTTGTTTTTTTTTTGTGTGTGTGGAATTAGCTGAAATGAATATGAATAGCATCCAAATTGAATACATGTGTAAATTTGTATAAAGTTTTAACAGTCTTGAACTGTCTGGGTTAGCACATTATTGATGTTTGAATTGTTTGTGAAATATTTGAGTGCGCATGAATAGAATATGTTCCCAATTCGCTGAACAATGTTTTGTGCAACCTTTACAATGAAAAGATCATATAAGCCCTTTTCACATTAAGGACCAAACTTAAGTGATATGATCTGTACTGGTACTCATTGCTAAGTTCTCACATGTAATTATACTGCAGGGTTTGTTGACTGTGTTCTGTCACACCTACAGCACTCATGAGTGTTTTTATGTTGTCACACCTGATGCAATGTCACAATTCAAACCCTCTGTCATCCTAATGAATTTTTCTTCATTTAAATGTAAGTTATTAATTGAAATCTAATAAATTATGAATGAATTTTTTCTTCATTTAAATATAAGTTATTAATTAAAATCTAATAAATTAAAAAGTACTACTTTCAAATAAACATAGCAGGAAAGGTATAATTGTAATTGTTTCTTTATAAATAGTAAAAAATGCATAAACCTCTGGTTGGCAGGACATTATTTTACATTATATTAATGCATAATAATTGTATTTCAGATGTGACATGTGCCCGTATGCAACTGGTGACCACAACTCCTTACGCCGTCATCGCATGCGTCACACAGGTGAGAAACCATACAAATGTATCTACTGTAACTATTCCTGCATCCAGGCCATCTCGTATAAGACCCATATGAAGAACAAACACCCGGGGTACAGTGAGGGCGTCTACAACTGTAATCTGTGCCCTTTCCGTACCGTGAACAAACAGAGCTACGATTACCACGTGCAGGACCATCAGAACGGGAAGATTGACACACAGTCCATGGTGGAAAAGTCTCTGAAACCGCTCCCAGAGAAGAGCAAAGTTCAGATCCCGAGACAGTCAGTCCGCGTGCAGGAAATCAGCGCAGGAGACCTGGCCAAAATTTCCAACATTGAGGGCCTCAGCGGTGGTGATCTCACTGCGGCCCAGTTGATCTACTCAGCATTGAATGCCATCTCTCAGCAAAACGCTCACCAGGGGGCTGCTGTGTCTTCTGCAGGACAACCCACATCCCAGGCTCAGGTGCTTCCTGGTGCTCAGATATTACAGAATGTGGAGACCAGTGTGGTGTCCAGCACCACTGACCAGGGGTCAACCCACACCATCACTTTTCACCTGCCAGGGGGCGCCACTGAGTCGCCTATCCTGATGACCCTCCAGCCAGCAGGGGAGGAGCAACAGGAACCCGATGCTGTCACTGTCTATCCCGTACATGTGGAGTAAATACATAGTGCAGTACCTGTTAACTGATTATTAGTGCCACTGAGTCTCCGTCTACCAGCTCTGCTTCTACTCACAGACTACAAGGACCTGTGTCCCCATCTCTTGGAATTAGGTCACATATGATCTCAACTTGAACCCCCTAGATTTTATGGTTCTGTGGGTGCATTTGCCTTGGAGTGATAACAATTGCTAAAATCTGTTAAGTTTTTGACCATGTTGCTTGTTAGTTTAAGACCTTACTCAAAAATTAAGAGATGGATTTTGGGTAAAATTCTCAGGATGGGTCAGAAAATAGGCTAACTTACAATCCATTAAATGTTGGTGGTGATCCATTAATAAAAGAATGGATTGATTAATAATATTAAGAATTGAGCTGCACCCTACAGTATGTCATATGTTATTGAAAGGTTCATCCCACTGTATCCCACCGATACAAGCGGAATGATGAAAAAGTAGCATTTTTCTTGGCCATTCTACTGATGAGGTGCCTTCCATCTTATCAGAATAGGATTTACTGACAGATCTCCGAAAAAAAAAGACTTGTGTTGGATGGGGATGAGGATGGGAGCATAGAAATACAATTTTATTATGATGTTGACTGTAAATAAATAGAACTGTAAATAAATAAAGCAATGACAAAAGGACCTTATTCTGTACAGTGCCATATACAACTTCAGAACTTGATCTAATTAAATTTTGGAAGGCAAGTTTTATGTTGGCTGTTGATTTGTCATTTGATTAAATGAATTTAGATTAAATGAAAAGAAGAAACCTATTTTTTATGGTGATTTTTTTTCCTAAGCTGCCCCAGACCTTTCCGAATAATTTCTTTCCAACCTTATTCCTACCTGTGATAAACAGTTTCTCAGAAGAGTATTTTTTGCAATTTTTGGCGTAAGTTTCTTTAGCGTCTGATTAAACTGCCTCTGTGGCTCTTCATACTTTTGCACTTTTTAAGGAAAAGAGAAAATAGTTTTGAAAACTTACTGACTTTTGGACTTTCATATGCTTTATAAATAGTAGTATTTGGGTACGGTAGACAATGTCTTGCAGAAGACAGAACGATTTCAATTTTTTAAAGCTGTCTGGAATGACAGTACCACAATTTGTTCTGGCCTGTGAAATGCACTTATCACATACAATTTTTTTAATAAATCTATAATACATAAGACAAATGTTCCAACTTGAAAGAATTTGACTTTATTGTGCTCTTTGAAGAGTTCAAAACTATTACGTGATTCTAAAATGTAAAAATAAATATTGATATGTACTGTAGTTTATATGCTATTTCGTGGGAATTATAGAAAAGATTACATGAAGTTTGACAAGCACACACACACACACAAAAGAAAAAAGTCACAAAAAATTTTGCAGGAGTTCATGACTGCTTTTCATGTGGATATGTAATTTTAGAGCAATACATTAAAAGGAAATGGTTTTGTACAGCAGTGCAGGTTTTTAACATCGGAAACCATTGATGCTATCCTCGTGAATAAAGCTAGAATTTCTGCCTCTTATCAAACAGATATGAGTTTTGGTAAGCTTCATTTGTACGAATATAATAAATCTAATAGCATTTCTGTGAAGCATTATACCTGAATTCCTTTCAGCGGTTTTTGGAAGATAAGAAGTACATGTATAGTATATATTGCAAATTCTGTAGCCAAATCAACCTGCGATTGCCGAGATGAACCAAGCGGCCATAGCAAGAAACTATCCTCTACCAGAGTGGCCGATATTATAGGCAAATTTTCCAAAAGCCAGAGAATCAAATGACTGTCTATTTATCTATAGACATATCTGTGGATATCTTGTGAAAAATCAATCTGTCGCCCTGGTAAAGGGAAGCAAGCAACTACTTATCCTAGGAACGTACACGTTGACATCAAGTATTAGAACCCATTTCCATAGATTTTAGATCGATCTATCCCTGTGGGAAGTCTCACTAGATAACTGTCAGCTAAGCCGGCTTAAGCGTCTGCCCCGCCTACTAAAAGCTGTAGGCGGATAATTAACTATGGTGTGCGCTCGGCTGACTGCAATTTAGCGTGAACCCCCAGGGAGTTAGGTCGATCTAAATTTTAATCTCTGGATCGATCTAAATCTCTTGGAATACACCCTTAGTCTCTTACCACTGGAGCGAGTGGATTAACTTTTGAAAAATAATAATAAATAGATAAATAGAAATAACATTCTACAAGGTGACCCAAAGAACGGAAAAAGAACCGCACTTGAAAGCGGCTAGCTGACCTCCAAATGGAGTTTTGATGGATCCAGTTGTTTTAAGCTAAGATTTGTATCAGCCCCTGACATCAGTACAACTGAAAAGGCATTGAATATGGAAAGCCTTGAAAGTAGTTTGAAATCTAACATAGAGATAGAAGAGAGAGGAGGGGATTTGAGGAGAGAGAGAGAGAGAGAGAGAGAGAGAGAGAGAGGGAGGGAGGGAGAGAGAGGGGAAGAAAAGAGTGATAGAAGAAGGAGAAAGAAGGGGGAGAGAGAAAGAGAAAAGGGAGAGAGAGAGAGAGAGAGAGAAGAGGGTTTGAGGAGAGAGAGAGAGGGGAAGAAAAGAGTGACAGAAGAAGGAGAAAGAAGGGGGAGAGAGAAAGAGAAAAGGGAGAGAGAGAGAGAGAAGAGCGAGGGAGAGAGAGAGAGAGAAGTGGGAGCGTGAGACAGCAGAGAGAAGAGAAAAGGCGTGGGAGTATCAAAACGGCCGGTTTTAATCGGGATAAATCCACATTTGTTCGTTTGAAGTTGTAAGTACAAGTTAGATAATCACCGAGAGTACTCTCGTGTGTGAAAGAAAAAAAACGAGATAACACGATTTCTTTGCCAATCGCGTGCCGACTGTCGAGCCATCTACTACAGGTGCAATTAGGGGAAAAGGTCGCACCGTAATACGTAATGAAACCAACACTAAAATCATCCAAAGCAAAATACGGAAGTTTTCCCCAGGCATGTATATGATAATTCAATTTTTATGACGTTAATAATCACTTCTGCATTTTGATATTGGGGTTAAAACCATATCACTTATCATAGTTGGCAGTCGTCTCGTGACTACAGCAGCACGTGAGAGCGTTTTTACCTGGTGAACTGAAACAAAAACACGTCTTTCTGTAAAGATAAAAGAGGGAGAAAGAAGGGGAGAGAGGGAGAAAAAAGAGAGAGAGAGAGAGGCGGAAAGAGAGGAGGGAGAGAGAAGAGAGCGTGAGACAGCAGAGAGAAGAGTAAGGGGGTGGGATTATCAACACGTGGTAATAAAAACAGCTGGTTTTATACAAGATAAATCCACATTTGTTCATTTGAAGACGTATGTACAAGTTAGATAATCATCCAGGGTACTCTTGTGGTGAAAAAAAAAACGAGATAACATGAAATAACCCAAGATAACACGATTTCTTTGCCAATCGCGTGCCGACCGTCGAGCCCTCTACTACAGGTGCAATTAGGGGAAAAGGTCGCGCTGTAATACGTAATTAAACCAGAACTAATACCACCCAAAGCAAAATACGGAAGTTTTTCCCAGGCATGTAAATGATAATTCAATTTTTATGACGTTAATAATTACTTCTGCATTTTGATATGGGCGTCAAAGCCGCTATCACTTATCAGAGTTGGCCGTCGTCTCGTGACTACAACAACACGTGAGAGCGTATTTACCTGGTGAACTGAAACAAAAACACGTCTCTGTAATGTCAGTCTGTTACCTATTTATAATCAAAACAATGTAGCAGGATATAGAATTGCAAGGGTGAACTTCAGACATGACATAATTTGGAAATACAAGACATCGCCATGAGAGATGACATTGGTAATATGGCTGATATTGTAAATGTCACAATATGTATTTTTTATTTCATTAACTTATTTAGTTGTTATTTTAGTTTTGGGTTGTACTTTCAGATAACATTTTTATGTATTTTTTTATTGCAATATATAAATAAATATATAAATAAATGGATGGAAAAAAATGAGACACGCATGTAGAGGTGTATCCTGCAATACATCCCAAACATCACACATAAACCTGAATACAGACTCTCGATACAATCAACATAGTTTACCTAACAAACACGCACGCTCTCTCTCTCTCTCTCTCTCTCTCTCTCTCTCTTGTAGATCTCGAACAAATTACAACGACGTCTACTACCCGTACTTTCATTCAGGGATGGAGCATGATGTATTCATATAGGATGCCCTGATGGTTTTTTAAGTCGGTTCATCTCTGTAGTTTTAGCAAGTGAGTACATATCATAGAAATCTACCTTTACATCAAGTTAACTTTGCCAAAATCTCGCGGGCCCTGGTGCTAGTCTCTTATCACTGGGGTGAGAAGATTTTTGAATAATAATAATAATAATAATAATAATAATAATAATAATAATAATAATAAGTAAAAATAATATTCTACAAGGTGACCCAAGGAACGAAAAAGAACTGCACCTGAAAGCAGCTAAATGTCCTCTAAATGAATGTTTTGATTGATTCAGTTGTTTTAAGCTAAGATTTGTATCAGCCCCTGATATCAGTGTAACTGAAAAGGCATTGAATATGAAAAGCCTGGAAAGTAGTATGAGATTTTACATAGAGAGAGAGAGAGAGAGAGAGAGAGAGGGAGAGAGAGAGAGAGAGGAGGGTTTGATGAGAGAGAGAGGGAGGGGGGAGAGAAAGGAGAGAGAGAAAGAGAGGAAGAGAGAGAGAAAGAAGAGAGAGTGAGAGAGAGAGGGGGAGAGAGAGAGAGGAGGGTATGAGGAGAGAGAGAGAGAGAGAAGAGAGAAATGGGAAATGCTTATTCAATTTTTATGACTTTAATAATCACTTCTGCATTTTGATATTGGGGTTAAAACCGTATCACTTATCATAGTTGGCAGGAGTCTCGTGACTACAACAACACGTGAGAGCGTTTTTACCTGGTGAACTGAAACAAAAACACGTCTTTCTGTAATAACAATCTGTTACCTATTTGTAATCAAGACAATGTAGCAGGATATAGAATTACAAGTGTGAACTTTAGATGTGACATAATTTGGAAATACAAGAAATCGCCATGAGAGATGACATTGGTATTATGGCTGATATTGTAAATGTCACATGATGCATTTTTTATTTCATCAACTTATTTAGTTATTATTTAGTTTTGGGTTGCACTTTCAGATAACACTTTTTAGTATTTACCTTTTTTATAGCAATAAATACATAAATGGTTGGAAAAAATGAGACACGCAGAGATGTATCCTGCAATCCATTCCAAACATCACACACAAAGGCTAGATGGGTAGTCTCCAGAACATGTGCCAAACCATCAAAGTAGTTTATTTAGCATACTCTCTCTCTCTTGTAGATCTCAAACAATTTATAACGACGTCTACTGCCCGTACTTTCATTTCAGGGGTTGAGTGTGATGTATTAATATAGGATGCCCTGATGGCTTTAGAGGTCGGACGTTTCTTTGCTTTCACCACAGCATATGCATACATATTTCTCGACTGTAATGAAGTTCGATGACAGCCAGCTGAGGATGAGATAAATTTAATGTTAAAATTTAATATTTTTTAATGTTAATACAATATTCACCCCATAACCAACAGACTAGTAGGCTAAAACTCGGTCCATCTCGGTATTTTTTCTGTCATTATGTCTACGACGGATCTGAAATTAAAGCGTTTCCTTTGGATAGATGGCTTGTTTAATGATGTGAACCTAGGGTTTGGTATGTAATAATGCAATCCTATTTTGGGAAGAATGATAACGCGACAGCTTATTATAACAGCTTGTTATTTCTCCCACAAAGTCCACTATATTTAGACACAAATCTAATCACGGTCAATTATTACTAATGTAGGAAATCAATTGATTGTGTGTTCAGGATTGATAAGATGCTGATCACGGCGGGGTATTGTTTATTCCGGATAAACATGATATGAGAAATACTGAAAATATCACGTTTTTGGAACGAATATAAGACACCGCTGTTTGAAATGGTGTAAGAAGATAAGGCTTAATCTAAATGATGGATGAAAATTAGTTTTATGAAATAAAAAAATATGACAGATTGAAGGCTTGTGTGACGTCCACGCATTTAAGTGACATTCTTTTGTCTGACAATGGAGTATTTAATGATTTTAGAGATTCTTCATCATGGATAACAAACACTTGTCCACCTACGAAAGT